AAACCAATGAATAATAAAACAACAACCAAAAAACACTACTAAGAAATTAAAAAAATAAATAAAAATATTATGTTCTTCTGTCAAGTAAGTTTACCTTTTTCATTTTTTATGTAACATATATATTTTTGTTTGTAGTTTGTAGTTTTTACTAAACATTTGGATAAAATATTAAGTTGCATTTTGAGAACTTACCTTATATTGTTATTTTTGTCATATTGATATTTATTTTGCTTTCACAGGTCCAAATTGTCAATCCAAGTACAATAAAGTAGGTTTTGAGTCAGTATTTAAACTGTGTTCTAGATAATATTTTTTCTTAAGTTTATTTTTTTTGTCTAATTCAATCATATATTATTATTTAATTCAATTTATTATTATAAAATGCTTTAACCATAATGAAAAATACTTTTATTGATATATTTTTATAACTGAGAGGATGTTTGGTCATTAAATAGATCAAATTTAATACTTATTAGTTATTACATCAAATATAATGTATCGACTTTCAAATCGTTACCACTTAAGCATAGATTTCGCATCACCAGTAGTCCACAACAGTAAAATACAAAATAATTATCTCTGCGCTTTGAATAGGCTTACAAATACAAATATATTATTTTATAATATTCTGCTGTGGAAACACAAACCAAACATATTACAATCGTTCGTAATTTTCAACTGTTCATAGACTTTATATTCAATGACCATCTATGCCTTTATTCTTATAGTAATCATATGTAATTTACTTAAAATTAAATTGTATGTAATATATTATATAATATGATGTAGTGTAAAGATATTATTATTGGTATATTCCTTTATTTTAATTTTAATATGATATAATTACATATTAATAAGTCGTTTTTAAATAAAATGTTTTACAATAAAATAGTGTTAAAATGCAATACATTTATTTTTGTTTGTATTTGTATTTATTATATTATAATAATATAGTTTTGTTTTTAAACATTTACTGATTATTTTAATAATTTTAAGAGTACATGAGACATTTTGTCCAAACGAGACGAACACATACCAGTTTTTGTGTCTCGACTAAATATAAGCCGTATATYATATGATAAGTATTGTWTATGGTCTAAGGCAAGAGTTCCTTAATCTTTCATGATCTATTTTAGCCAAATTTTAAACTTTGGTGACTGATATGGCTATGACCCATAGTTTGGGAACATTTGATAAAAATGCTTGCGGGTATTATATTATTATGATCTATATCGTTTTCAACAGTTTGGAAAGATTACAGTTTACAGTAATGGTGAGCAAGAAATGTCACAACCACACAATATAATATGTATTGGTWCGTAAAGTTATAATAATACTAGCTGACCCGGCAATGCTTCGCTATTGCAAGATTTCTCAGATATTAAATTGCTATTTATTTTCTTATTATAGATTATTATTATAATACACATATTTATATGTCTTTTTATTCTAGACCACTTTTAGTCACGTCTTCGTGATAATGTAGCCATATAAATTTAGCGTCGCCTCTGATGATTGCCGGATTCATCATAATGTTTAAAAAAATTTTTGTATGTAGTGGTAAATGTATATGTATGTAAATTGTGTATGTACATTTTGTAGGTATAACTATGGATGGAACAAAATATATGAATTATGCCAGTATTTTGATAATTATTCAAATACTTGAAAAATTTCTTTGTATACAACATTATCAACTTTTTCTGGATCGGGGGCAAAAATATAGAAATTAAATTTGGATATCACACGTGACAGGGTGACGTATAGTTGACCGTGAGAAAAACATTGAACGCTTAGGTCAATTCYAGCRASGTTAAGTGTTTGTCYCTGTGCTTTATTTATAGTCATTGCAAATGCTAATTTAATGGGAAATTGAATACGTTTAAACTTAAAACGTAAATCTGAGGGTATAATTGGTATTCTTGGTATTAAAACAGTTTTTACATTACCACAGCCTGTTAATATTATGCACTCGAGTAATGAACTTCTCAATTTTTTGATTTGTAGTCTTGTACCGTTGCAAAGCGTGGGTGGGCTTAAATTTCTCATTAAAATAATAGGATTT